ACAATTTTGCTCAACATTTGGCATTACTCATATAACAGGAATCCCATACAATCCACAGGGACAAGGCATAGTTGAAAGAGCTCATCAAACTATTAAAATGTACTTATTAAAGCAAAAAGAGGGAATTAGGAAGGGGTATCTATTCCCCAAAGATAAACTTAAAATAACCCTTTTTACTCTAAACTTTTTAAATTTGGATTCATCAGGACTTAGTGCTGCAGAAAGGCATATGTGTCCAAAAACTGTGCATAAGCCCAAGGTACTTTGGAAGGATATTCTAACAGGACAATGGAAAGGTCCTGACCCAGTAATTGTCTGGAGTTGGGGGTCTGTTTGTGTGTTTCCACAGGGAGAACAGCAGCCGATTTGGATTCCAGAGAGATTAACTAAAGCGATTTCTACAGACCAAAAAGAAGATGATTTGACTCAAGTCCATAACAGCTGATATCCAAAACTCCAGTTTGGCTATCCTTACATCTGCGATAGAACCAGGATGCTTTTTTCAATATCTATTTTATTATTGCCCTTTCCCACATTCTATTTTGTTTTTTGAGCTCATACAGACCTAGGTTAATGTTTTGCTGATCAGTTCTATTTTTTGACTATAGAGTTTTTAAACATTGCAATGGAGATTTCACCTGTAAAAAGTTATAAGGCCTTTACTATTAGGTTATGTGTTGTATGTATTATATTATGTGTGCACACTTGTGTTTTTTGTTATATGTTTGAATGTACGTATGTCCATATATCATATATGATGGGCGCTCATGAAAAAATAGATCCAAATATATATTTTTTTATTCATGTGATTTAAATGGTTTAATTTAAATTGGGTAAACAACTGTTGAGGATTGCTTTAATATGTGAACAAAAAAGGAGGTTAACAGATCTGTTTGTTTACTTTCACCTTTCCTTTTCATTATATTTAATAATTCTCTTAAAGACAATGTAAATTATTAAGAAAATTGTTTTCTTTTAGTGCCTTCTGGAATGTTACATAATTTTTTCTTTAGCCATTATTGCCAGAATTCCTATCTTCATCCCAGTGCCGGTAAAGACAATGTAAATTATTAAGAAAATTGTTTTCTTTTAGTGCCTTCTGGAATGTTACATAATTTTTTCTTTAGCCATTATTGCCAGAATTCCTATCTTCATCCCAGTGCTGGTGAAGACAAAGATAAAACCAATCTACAGCTTCTGCAATAGCCATCACTGAACTGCTTGCAGAACTTGCCTGGACACATTGTGAACTCACCTGTATGCATTGTGAACTATCTGTTGGTGCAGCGACTTGTGGTAGTGTTGGGGTATTTTTGCTGATGATGTCATTGGTGGTACAATTTTTCCAAAAGGAGCCGTCAATTGGCTTGGTGTATCTTCCTCCCTTCTGCTTGTCATGATCGTTCAGCTAAAATTTGGGGGCCAAAAGAGGTGAGGCAAAGAACCTCACCCCCCCGCTGGTACAAAGACCTCTCCACAGGTGTGGCTGTATACTGGACCGGTAGTCAGTGATGGGTAAGATCCAGTTGCAATTGTACCAACCTAACGGGTAAGGACCATATGTACTATTGGACAACCTAAGGCAGGCACGGTCCCTAAGCCACATGCTTGTTGTTTAAACAGAGAGGGGGAGATGTTGAGAGCCACAGCCGAAGGGGCCCCAGCAAACTTTCAGACTGACAGCTGATGATTGGCTCACAGCGGCCCCAGCAACTTCTAGCTGATTGGCTCCTCTTTGGTGATGCTCATTGGGCTGTTTCCCTGCCCTTTCAGACCACGGAGCTGCTCATTGGGGGACTTTTTTGGCTCTGCCCATGCGACCCAGCCAATCGGCCTCAATAGCAAGAGGATTGTGGGAGGTGGAGAGGCTTGGGGTGTGGGGAGAGGCTTGTGGGAAGCCGGCGGTGGCAATTGGGCTCTGAAGGTTTTCCTGAGGAGCTTTTTTGTTTGGCGTGTGTGGTTCTAAAAATAAAGTTCGTTTCTTTTGACAAGTGGCTCCTGAATCGTGCCCAGCCAGACTGCGGCAAATCAGGTCCGTGGTTACATCAGTACCAGAATCTGACACAGGTCAATATGACAGAGAATACTACCTGGAAGAATAGACGAGCCCCAGAGCAAAGCCTGGTGAGAACTTGTAGGTAGACAATGTCTTGGCATTAGTTTGAACTCAAGGCCTAAGTCCTAGGCTGAATTTCCACTGGAAAAACCTTTAGGAACTTAGGTGTTGTGAAGGCCCATATCCCCTTGTCCCGGAATGTGACAGATCTGAAAGGAAGTAGCCAAAGAAAGAAATGATCTGACTCTTTAAAATGAGAACTCTGTTACTCCCAAAATAAGATTCTAGAGAGAGAGAGAGATCATTGTACTAAACTCAGAAACATTATTACCTAATGCGGAAATTAATAAGTGGCAGCTTATATACCTAATCCGAACAGCAGATAAATTTGCTAGGCCTAAACAGATGTTTTAAAAGAAAATTAGTTAGCTGCTCACATTTAAAAATCAAGAACTTTATACTTGAATATCTGAATTTCTTTCTTCCATTGATAAATCAAAATATCTGGGCATGCACATGGCTACATCCAGCCGGAGATGACAAAGTGCTGTCCTATTAGGATAAACGTCTCTGGTTTGCCACAGTCCACATCCCTGTCTTTTGAGTTTCAGGTGTGATGTACTTCACTCATTTACAGTCAACATCAGGCTATTACTATAGTACTTGAGTTTGATGTTATCACCATGAATTAATTCCAAAACCACAATTTTCAAATAATCAGTCCTCTAATTTAATGAAATAGTAGAGTACTTCTCAAACTATCTTTAGGCTAGGGCCAGTATTTACTGAATTTGTTTTATTTTTTGTTCTTTCAGGGCTACAGTTTAAATCTAAGAAGAAGCTGTGAATAGGACCTGCATTTGGTATTATTTTAAGAGTTTCACCTTCAGAATCCTTCACAAAAACAGAAAGATTAATTTCTTTGCACAATATGGATTTTATAATAACATTGGTGGAAAAGATATCTAAATTTCTGTTAAAGCAAAATCTACTAAAGGAAACTAGTTAGCACTAGGAAGAAAGGTCAGACATTGCAGTTATTAGATATTTAAATTCTGAAACATAGAATGAAAGGAATTCACCAAGTCAACTGTGGAGGCTCTTCTTGACACAAAGGGTTGAAAACAGTGAAAAGAGAGGGAGGATAATAGAGTTCTGATCTCATGGTGTTGATTACTTGGGGGCCCATCAGCTATAAAATTAGGGGGTTAGAAAAAGTATTTTAAAGGTAATGGTGATATACATTCACCAGACTATGATATTTAACTAAGAAAAAATTTTCTTCTGAAAATTGGCAAATGGAGTAAGGGGACAGGACTTTTAAAGGGTCTCCATACTTACAGCTGAGGTCAACAAGGCCCAGAGATGGCATTTAGCTCACTCAAGGTTACATGGCAAGTGCACAACACAGCAGAGGTAAAAGCCATACCCTTCTACTTATTGTTGAGGCTCTATCCTGACAAAAGTGCCTTGAGGTAGAAATTTCCCTGGGAAAATGAAGGTCAAGTCTTCAATACCAATGTATTAGTGTCTCTTGATTTTTAGGAAAACATTCTCAATAACTGATTCTTAATGACTTTTACTTCCATTTTATTTGGTGAAAGTCAGACAAGTTAGAATCCAAAGACTGATTTCATAAAATTGTCTGCTTCTCAACTGAGGTATTTTTGAAATCTGACTCTTCCCACTGGCATGGTCTCAATGGTGATTGTGTCATCAGAAGCTTCTATAGCAGAAACCTATATCCAAGCCTGCTCTTTGAAGTACTGGTATTGGTGGTCCTGTCTTTTTCTATGGAGCTGTGAGACTGTCCTTTTTTGTTGAAGATAAGAACTGTGGCCTTTAGCTGGGTACAGTACCTTCTGGAAGGCATCAGAGCAAACTCAAAAACTATCTGGAGATGTCAGAGGTTTTGTTTTGACAACTTGTCAGTAGCAGCAACAAATAAATCTAATTATTTTAGCACACTGTGTCCACAAAGTGAAAGAACAAATCTCTGTGACTTTCCAGGAATCCCAAGAGAAATTTCAAAGAGAATTTTACATGCCAAAGATATTGTGAAGTTTTTTATTTTTAGTCCATTTTTCACTGAGGGTTCAATTTGGGAATGCAAAAATCAAAGGCTGCCTGGAGATTTGTGTTTTTCGGACAGGAAGAAGTCGATAGGAGGTGCATGGGTGGAGAGAACACCAAGTAAGTGTGTGAATTAGATGGGAAGTCTATGGGTAGATATTGGAGCTGGCCTAAAAGGAGGTCTTGGTAATTAGAGCATGGTTTGAAATTAAAGGCAGTCTAAAGGGAAAACTGCAGGAAGCACATGGTTGGAAGTATCATGTAGCCTAGGGAAAGATATTGTAAGGAGTGCCTGGTGGAAATACCATACAGCCTCGGGGAAAATTCAGCAGGAGATGCACTGGTAGAAGGAGGAGTCAGCTTATGGGGGCACTTAATGAGAAATGTATGGTTCAAATGAGCACCTGGCCTAGGGAAGAACATTGGAAGAAATGCATGGGTATAGAAAGCATCCAGCTTAGCTGAAAACTCAGCAGGCAGTATAGGGGTAGAAGGAACAGCTGACTTATAGTTTGGATATAAGGTGTCCCCCAAAAGCTCTTATGTTAATGCAGGAGTGGTTGAAAGTGAAATGATTAGGTCGTGAGAGCTGTAACCTAATCAGTCCATCCTAGTTTGAATTGACAGGGTGGTACCTGTGGACAGATGGGGCATGGCTGGAGGAGGTTGGTCACTGGGGGAGTGTGGTGGAAGGGTTCATCCTTCTTGTGGTCCTCTCCCCATCACTCTGCTTCCTAGCCACCATGAGGCAAGCAGTTTCCTTCTGCCATGTCCTTCCTGATGATATGCTCCCTCACCTGGGGCCTAGAGCAATTGTTATGGTTAAAGCTTCATCCCAGAGTTTTATAAATTGACTTCCAGACCACTCACATTTAATCGAATCAAGCCTTTATTGAAGCACACCAGTGGTGACTGACCAGAACATAAAGCTGTTCCCCTGATCAGCCCCAAACAATTGCAAGGGCACTCCTTATAAGCCTGAAAACCTCAAAAGGGATGTTCCGGGATCTAGCCAATGCAAGCAAGCCAGGTTACAGAAGCAGGAGAGTGCAGTCAAACGGAGGGAAGCCTAACCAATCACAGTTAGCCCAGTCACCCCAGTTACAGAAACAGAGCCCCGTTACCCTAGTTACAGAAACAATGTCCCACTAGGTAGTTCTGTGTTCTTAAAGGTTTCTATAGCAAAAGGAAAAGAACATCTTGCCCCAGTCATGACCCTTGTACTTGGCATGGTTGTTTTACAGAATAGCATGGTTGTTTTACAGAGTTGTCCCACTTATAAAAACAAAATGGAGTCACATTTGCTTTTACTATCACATTCCCCACTGGTTTTAGTAGGTTTGATGTCAATCTTGCATATCATTAGGCCTCAGTTTCTTTTCCATCCTTCTCTAAGGGACCACTCTGGGCTCGCAAGACCATAAGTCAGACCTCACCTACATTATTGTGTGTATGGTTTAAGAGGGTTTTTAAGAGGCAGGGTCCTACAGTAATCCCAATCAGGAGAAGGACTAGGGGCCCAACTATGGCTGAAATGATGGTAGTCAACCAAGGGGACCATGAGAATAGATTTTGGAACCAATTGCCTGAAGTTTCTTGCACTTTCTCTCTATCCTTTAACCTGTTTCTCACTAGTGCCAAACTGTCCTTTATTATCCCAGCTGCATAGAAACAGCAAGTTTCTCCTAGAGCCATACAAAGTCCTCCTTGTTTTAGAAAGAGATGATCTAGACCTCATCTGTTTTGTAAGACTATTTCTGTCACAGAGTCTAGTGAAACCTCTAGTTTGGAGATTGACCTTTCTAGTTCTCCTAAATCTATATCTATTTGATGGCTAAGGGACTTGATTTTTTTTTAGAGCCTGTGATAAGAGCTGCAGTTCCTAAAGCAGTAGATCTAGCTATTCCCAAACCAGTCAGAGGGGAACTAAAATGTGGATAGCCCATCTATGTTGATAAATCAGTGGGCCCTGGCCTTTTAATAAGTCCAGGTGTTCTTTTCCTTTTACTCCATCAAAATAGTAGGTTACATAGTTCAGAGTTATTGATAGTTTGGAGATTCAGGCAAGGAGTTTGAAGTGAGACCCAGGAAGCACAATTTTTGGTGAACAGGGAGTTGTCTCACTTATAAGTTGGGTTGTGGAAGCAAGTGTCTCTTTCTGGGAGATCACCCAATGTGATCTTGGGAGTAGTTCCCCAGGTACATCTTCCTGAGCTAGACATATTGGCAAATATCTATAATGACCATAATTTTTTTTTCTCTAATGTTAGGGACCTCCTACTGCTGTAAAGGAAAAGGGCGATGACTGTTCTTGCTGCTTTGAGCTGAGAGGGGGTGATGTGCAGTGGGCAGCAGTTTGGAGTCCGTTTTTAGAAACAGAGTGGGTCAAGGAATCCATGGTAAAAATCTGGTTCAGGAAGAACAGGATGTAAATTCACCTGGGGGTGGGCACTTCTATGAGAGAAACAAAAAGACATGAGTACTGAAATAAGATTAATACAAAATAGCAGTTGTAGCATCTGAAAACCTGTCCATGAATATCATGAAAATGATAGAAATTAATAATTGTTTACCAGGAGGCAGAAGACCTGAGAAATTGTCCCCATAACAAGGCCTAACAAAGCCTAATAAGGCCCTTTTTTTATAAAACATAAATCTTTAACAGTTTCAGAATTATCAGGAATGTAGACACAACATTTAGTTAAATTAAATTGTTAATGTCATCTGATTTTTATAAAAATACCTTTTTGGCATGACCTCTGTGTTCAGTAAAGATCCCTTTGCTATTTAGGGTTAGATAATTATATTAATAAACATTGACTGCATCTACCTGTTAGGAGGTTAGGAAGATCTGTAGGCCTTAAACTGACTAAAAACTTCTGGCTCTGGCAATTTTTATTATCAGGCATTTTTGCCTAAGAATTTCTCTTTTGTTGCCTCCAGTCTTACTTATTTCTTGGAGGGTGCTAACACAAGTGTACATCTTAAGTTACATTAAAATAACTATTATTTCTTTTTAAATACCCAGGAATGGCTGTGCTTTGGTCTTAACTGTTTTTGCTAGGTGTTGAAGACCAAGCTGGTCAAACTGACCTTGTTTTTATCTATTGGTAAAAGTCAGCTGAGTTTCCTTGGAGGACGCTCTTGGGGAACTTGTGAGTAGCATTTCAGCTCTTTTAGTGTCATCTGCATTAGGATGGGTCAAGTTCTTGCTGACCATGTGGCTTCCCTAGGAAGAATCAGGCATGTCTCCCCTTTTTAATGACCCTCCTCTTTTGCAGTCTGATTGGCTTTCTGTTCTCTAATGGTCTCCTTAATCTCCCTTATCGGGAGGTTATGTGGCCCAGAGTTGTAAAGCTTTTCCCCCTGTCCTGGGTTCAGGCTGACTCAGGGCAAGAGCCAAATATTGGTTTTCTTGGCCCCTTTATTTTAACCTTAATTTTTAAGTTTGGCCTTAAACATCTAGCAAGTCAGTTTTACCAGTTTTAAAGTAAGAATACTGGGCTTTCACTTTAATGTTTATAACTTTACAGTTAATATTTTTTTTTTGTTTTTAATCTATACATAACACAATACCTTTATCATATCTATTTACTTATGTGATGTTGAGGATTGAACCCAGTGCCTCACACATGCAAGGCAAGCATTCCACTGCTGAGCCATAACCTTAGCCCCTTTACAGTTAATTTAATCCCTTTTAATTATTATCTGTCTACAGATGATGGCTTAATATCTCAAATTAATTTAGGTTGTATGTTCATGAAGTATTACCTCTGTAAAATATTAACAGGCATCAGTTATTGTTAGTTGTGGAGCAGGCTGAACAAATGTTAGCCTTGCTTGTTTGCCTGAAGTCTGAACACTCAACCCCACTCTAGGCTGAACACTCGACCCCCACCCATCTAGTACAACAAAACCCACATCTGACCCCTGCCAGGTCTGCCTGAAGGCAGAAGATGATACCCTTAGCAACTACTGTATGATACAATCACTGTATGCCAACAAGGCAGCTTACAGACCCAGAGAGCCCGTTAGATTTTGGTTATAAAAACTCTCTCTTGCCAGGTATCCCTCTCTTGCTTTCTCTTCTCCCTCTCACTCTCTTTCTCTCTCTCTCTCTCTCTTTTTTTTTTCTGTTAATCAGACACTGCCACAATAAAGATCTCTTGGTCGCTCCAAGTGTCATGGTCACTTTTCTTTCAGTTATAATGAAAATACAAATGAAATTAACAACAGTAAAAACATATTTAGCTTGTATATAATTTTGAACCTTGGCTAAGTTATATTTTATATTTTCTATTTGAGATCATAGTAATCTTTTCAATAAAATTAATCTTTGAATATAACTTTAAATCAACTGAAATATGGCCTACTTTGAAGTCATTTTGACATGCTATAAGGTGGGAGGCAGAGCCTTATCTCAGGTAAGGCAGGGCTCTTTACAAATCTTAGGTAAAGTGTTTTAGTTCTGAAGCTGATCTTTGTCTCTCTTTTTAGATATCATTTTATAAAGTTTACATATATTGTTTCCTGACTCTGTATGAATGTTAGCTAGCACAATATGACATACATCTGAAACATTAATTAAGGAAAGGCTGAGCACTCTTCTCTTTTATGTGGAAAAGTGGCAAAAAATGTTTTATAATATTAACCTTTAAACAGATCAGGCTTTCATTATCTTTTAAAATATCTTTAAATTTTTATATCTTAGTGTAAAAGATAAGATTTGGTTACAAAACATCAAATAATATAAATAAATCCCCAATAAAATCTATTATCCTTATAAGTTTAAATTATCATTACAGACAATTTTAGTTTGGAGAATACCAGCTTGATAAAATGTTCCTTTAAACCTTTTACCTTAAAGTCTTGTATACCTGAAAGATATGAACACATTTAATCTGTAAAAAAGAGTAATATACCACACTTTTATTGATGTTTTTATATTAACCAAGGTTAGCTTTTAAAGAAAAATCTTTAAAAGAAAAATAACAGTTGCTGGTTAACCACAGATGTACAAAACTTAATTTCTCCAAGATTACATGTTCTAGGGGATAAAACTTAACAGACACAATGTAATTAATATTTTTAGAAGTTTTTGTCATTTTAACATATAAATATATCAATACATTAATATTTGTCCTTAAGGAACAACCTTGAATAGTTTTAACTATTTGTGTTTCATATATAACCAACTTAGTTACATACAAACCTTTTAATATTTATCTTTTATTTGTAGACCTTTATATTACTCAATTAGGCCCTTTTGTTATTTACTTAGATGTATTATAATTATACTTTACCACATAAAGACTTTTTACCTGGAAACGTTTTTCATTAAATATATTTTTATATTTAGAACCTTTTAATAATTTTTAATCCATTGATCCTTCTATCTGTTTGCACCTTGAAATAACCCTTATACATTTCTGAATTTAGATAAATTAACCCATTTTAATAAGATGAAATATTTTGTTATATACAGTACTTTAATTTAAATTCAGTTGAAACCTCTTGACTCCTTGTATGTAGAATTATACCTGTTGGAACTTTTAATTTATAGTAACCTTGTTTTTATGATAACACAAAATAATTTCAAATTTCTTTTTAGTTTACCAATTTATGAAAACATTAAGTATTTTACCTTATGGAATTTAAGGAGTTAAGAGTACTTGATATTATATTTAAAAGTTAGCCTCTTAACTTTGTAAAATAATTAGATGTCTCTAACAAACACATCCATGATTAATTTCATATACGTTTAATCTTTTTTAAAAACAAGGTATCAGACAAGTGCATTGAATAGTATTAGCAATCTTTTTTTTTCCTGTTGAAGAAAAATCCAAGAGACAATGGATATCAGACACTTTAAAGACATTAACATTTAACAGATATTTAACAATCTAGAAACAAAACTGTGCATTAGTAACTTTAAAGACATTTGTACTTTTATTTATTTTCACAATTTAAATTGAACCTTTAAAATCATATTAACCAAAGGTATTTGGATCCATTTTTTTATTTTAATTTATGAGCTCATATGTCAATTTTTTGTACCAATTATATGTAGACATGGCAATATATGAAGACAGACAGTACACGGGTGCACCCACACAAAGCAAACAAACAAACAAAAGCCTTGTAGCTTATTTTTAAAAACCTATTAGATTGAGAGTTAACCCTTGTAAATTGGCCTTAGAATAAAGCAGAGTGTAATCAGAAAAACATATTAACCTACGCGTATTGGATCAAAATTATGAATTTAACAAACATAGAATTTTAAAAGTTTTTCTGACCTTTTTCCTGAGGTGGTCCTGTTCATCAAAGCTGAAAAGAGTTAAGGGAACATAGACAAATGAAGGGGTCTTATTTTTTTCCTGAAGGAACTTCCCAAAGACGCAGCTCCACTGGTCTCCTTGGGAGAGTCCCTCAGGTTGGGGTTCCATTCTAAACTGGTTTTTCTGGTTTCTTGGATAGCGGCCAACAAATTTTAGCCTGACATTGAAAAATCTTTGAACCATTTTTTAATAGTTGGGAATTATTCATGCTTGCAAATAATGAGAGACAAAAGCCAAATTTCCTAGATAAAATTATGCTTTTTATTATACAATTTAGGAATAATAATTTTATAAAACATTTTAGTTTTAATCTGTCCTCTATAGGAATTGACATGATTTACCCAGTTGGCCACCTGGCCCAGTTCCTAAATGAAGGCAATCTCCAGAATGCTTTTTTTTTTTTTTTTTTTTACCTTTAGCTTTTACTTTTGACAATTTTTTTAGTCCTGTTGGCAGCACTTTACATTTTAATGCAAGCTGTAGTGAGCACAGTTAAAACTGTTTTGACCATTGTTTTTCCATTAGAAACAAACTGAGGTAGAAATTAACACAGAACATAAAGGGGACAAACAAAAACAAACCAACAGACAAAGTCCTAAAATTTGTTAAGAAAACAACATAAAGGGGTCCAGGTAGAGATCTCTGTAGCGCTTCCTTGTCTCATGATGTCCCTGGAGGGAAGGAGTCCTGATGAAAGAAGAGCGGTTATGAGAACAAGAAAAGGGCCCACGCACAACACACAACAGATAAACACAAGACAAACGGCCAGCGAACAGACACTGGACAAATGACAAACAGCAAGGCAGACGCTGGAGAAACGACAAACAGCAGAACAGACACAGGACAAGCAACAATCGATGAGATCACACAGGGAGACCTCTAATGGGGCAGAGACCAAGTCTCATCCTGCTCCCAGACAGATGAGGCCCCGCAGGGAGGCCTCCAGTGGGACAGAGACAACATCTTGTCCTGCCCCCAGATACAGACAGATGAGGTCACACAGGGAGGCCTCCAGGGAGACAGTGACAAAGTCTCATCCGGTCTTGGGAAAGGTGTAAGCGACTGCTCCAATCTGACCTTTTCCCCAGAGGAGTGGACTCACCAGAACTGACAGCCGGCAGGAGGCTTTTCAGAGCCTCTAGGACAGATTGGACTCGCCCTGGGAGTGAGGCTGAGGAACTTCTTTCAGGAGCTCCCCTCTACTCCAGGGTCAAGGTCCAAAGGCCCGTGTTGGAGGCAAATTTGGCGTGAGGGTAGGGAAGAAATGGATCCAGGGCGAGCCCCCAGATGTTATAGTTAAAGCTTCGTCCCAGGGTTTCATAAACTGACTTCCAGACCACTCATGTATAATCGAATCAAGCCTTTATTGAAGCACACTGGTGGCAGCTGACCAGAACATAAAGCTGTTCCCCTGATCAGCCCCAAACAATTGCAAGGGCACTCCTTATAAGCCTGAAAACCGCAAAAGGGATGTTCGGGGGTCTAGACAATGCAAGCAAGCCAGGTTACAGAAGGGGAAGAGTGCAGTCAAGCGGAGGGAAGCCTAACCAATCACAGTTAGCCCAGTCACCCCAGTTACAGAAACAGAGCCCTGTTACCCTAGTTACAGAAACAATGTCCCATAGGTAGTTCTGTGTTCTTAAAGTGGTCTATAACTCCAATAGCAGGTTTTGAGGAAGTCAACCTTCTTTGATAGGGAGAAAAGTGGTGACCACAGCATGCACAGCCCATGTGTCCCATCTGTGGTGTGAGGACCAAGCCCTATGCTCACCTTCCAGGCACAAACTGGGATTAGTGCTGCTGTAACTGCTGGTACCAGTTAAATCCTGTCAATCTCTCCTGGCTCTGGGCACACTTGCTTGCTTGTTACCGCCCTTCCTTTCTTCCCTTCCTCTCTCCTTTTCTTTCCTAAAGTATAATTGGCTTACCATAAAATTCACACATCGTAAGCATCAATTCAATGATATTTGGTAGATTTATACAATCTTATAATCATCACAATCCAGTTTTAGAACTTTTCCATCACCTCCAAAATTCCCTTCAAGTCCACTTGCAATCATTCTCACTCCTTATCCTGTAGCCGAGGCACCACTGACCTTTCTATAGATTCACCTTTTCTGGAAATTTCATTTAAAAGGAATTGAACAATATGTAGTCTTGTTCATGAGGAAAAGAAGAGGAACTTTGCCTTAAGAGTGTCAGCACAGAAGATGTCAAGGAGAAAGATGAACCCCCCTCCTTCAGTCCAGTGAAGTAACTGACCAGGGTACATGACCAGGATAAAGAGGAGGTCCCCCAAATCCTCAATGAAGTAATGATAGAATGTGAACAATGCAAAGAGAGTATAATGATGTAATAAGGACAAGGACCACTCTATCATTGTAGTGCTGAACTCATTCAGGAGATGGCAAAAAGGCAAAGGAAATGGGTTGTACTGTGGCAGAAGCCCTCTTCAAAGAGGAGGTGGCACGGCTAGCACCTATGTGCGCAGGCGCAACTACATTCAACTTGATGTGGCCAGCACAGCAGTATGCATGCACAACTCCAGTAACTATGTGCCCTTGAGTTTCCTAGCCAAAGAGAAAGCGACCTGGCACACTCTGGGCACCTGTACAACTCTGCAGATACTCAAGGCAGATGCACAACTCTGCTGACCCCTCACCCCCAGTGCCAGTATGTAGTGGGGAGGGTGGAGAGAGAGGCTAGCAGGGGCTATATAAGGCAAAGAATGAAACTCTTTCCCATAAGTACAGGGTACAGTGAAAAGCATGTTAACAATGCCAAGATAAAAAAGTTCTGATGCCCCATTCCTGTGGTGCAACAGGGTACATTATTGAGATAAACAGATTAACACCTGCAAATATCAGCCTTCAGTGTAGTGGTGCAACTGTTCAGGTAAAGAGGAGGATGCAGTATCATCTTTCATCAGAGGAGAATGGGAACAGGGCTGAGGACACAGAAATGTGAACAGAGAATAGAATAGAGAAACACCTTGATCAATAGCTTCAGTGTTTTAATGTGCACGGGGATATTAACAGGGCACGGAAGAACAGCCCCATACCATAACTGTGGAGGTGTAAGTTCACTGGGAAGGTTAAAGGTCAAATAAGAGGATTTCTACAGCATTAGCTCAGAGGGGTCACTGAGCAATATTTGAGCTGGGGCAAGGAGAAGGATCCCTGCCCCATCCAGCACCAGTGTCACTACCATAACTGGCCAGTGGATGTTATTCATGCAAAAAATGGCAGGCCTGAACCATAATTGTAATAGTCTAGCTGCTCAGAGGATGTGAACAGGATAAAGAGGATGGGAGAACATGAGTACAGAGATATAGCTGGGCTAGAATGTGAACATGGCAAAAGAAAGAGTAGAAAGAGCCCTATGCAGTTAGTACCTTGGTATAACCACACTAAAATTCAAACAGGGGAAAGAGAGTGATCCCTGCTCTATCAGTGCACAGATGGAATTGGGTGCAGGATGTGAGAAGGAAAAAGAATAGTCCTACCTCAAGAGTCCAGTAGAAGAACTCCATAAAAGATATGAACAGGAAAAAATAAATAAATCAACATGAAAATCCTCACAGCATTATTACTGAGGACAGGGCACATGAATAGGGCTAGGGGAAGAAACACCAAACCATCATTTCAGTCACGTATTTCATCAGGGTTGTGTGAATGGGGAAGAGAGGAAAGACATCACATCATCAGATTTACAGTGGCTACCATTTGAACACAGAAAAAAAAAAAAAACGATTGCAGAATGTTCAGAGTTGTAGTGCAATTGAGCTTGGGGAGTAAACAGTAAAGAGGAAGAGCCCTTATCATCTTACTATTGTGCCTTGACAGATAATGTGAACAGGTCAATTAGGAGTATTCCAACACCATTGGTGCATTGGTATTGGTGGGCAGGGTCTGAATGGAACAAACAGGTGGAGCCCTGCCTTGTCGAATGCAGTAGAGTGATGGGGTGGGGGATGCAAACAAGATAATCAGTAGGAGTTCCGCCACTTCCAAGTGTGCGGTGGGTGAGATGACATGTACCTAGGCACTGCTGTGACTGGTTCAGCAATCTTGACTCTGTACTATATAGTTGACTCTATACTTGGGGGAAGCCCAGGGTGACTTTGATGCTGGTAATACAATCCCCTCCCATAAGAATTATAGTGCTGCTGTACAATGCCCTGGGAGAATTACAAGTCTGCCTTCAAGATAGTGTGATTTACACCCACAGTGTCATAAAACATTTCACCTGCAAGAGACGGAACCGATTTCCAGAGGGTGAGGTGACCTGCTGGACACTGCTGAGGGTAGTTAGTGGGAAACCAATTCTCTTGCCACCTTGCTCTGAGCCTGTCATAGCCTTGTCTTGTAATATATATCACTGAAACCTCTGAAAGCAGAGGTCCTAAATCTTCAGATATTGGAATTGCCCAAGATATATAGTCTGGTATAAATATGCACAATGGTTACACTGAATATTAATGTACTAACATGGAAATCAAGTCAACAACCCGAACCCAGCCCAGATCATAGTGACTAAATGTCATCACAGACTGTCTGGAGCCTTGACAAATTGAGGTTCAGCAGGAAAAAGAATGGGTCACAAAACAGCCCTTGCCACAACTAGCACCTTTTGACAGTTTCTGGTACCATGGCCAAGAAATCAATGGGCTGTGGACAGAGTCATCTTCTTACCTCTGCAAGTGATCCCCATAGGCCGCCCAGCAGGATGTTAGCAGAATGACTACAGGACAGCATGCCATTCCTGGCTGCTTCTCCTTCTGCTCTGAGAATGGAGGGGCCACCTTGAGTTCAAAGTAGTGGACCTGACATGGAAAGAAGCACCCTGTTTGCCACAGAGCCATCTATTTAGCCAGCTGTCTCTCTCACTACATTGCTGTCCTGTGTTAAAGTTACCAAAGGTAAAATGAATTGCAAAACAAAAGCCCAATCAATTTTCATGGGTAAAAAAAAAAAAAAATTCATGGGTATAAAGCCTAAACCTTTTAATATTTAACTGGGGTGGGGTATAATGCTCATGAAGAAAGAAGTAAGCTTAGGGGACAAAGTGACAT